GTTTCACCATGTTGACCAGGATGGTCTCGATCTCTTGACCTCGTGATCCACCCGCCTCGGCCTCCCAAAGTGCTGGGATTACAGGCTTGAGCCACCGCGCCCGGCCCCCGGCCAATATTTTTTAAAAACAATGTAATAGGCCAGGCGTGGTGGCTCATGCGAGTAATCCCAGCACTTTGGGAGGCCGAGACAGGTGGATCACCTGAGGTCAGGAGTTTGAGACCAACCTGACCAACACAGTGAAACCACATCTCTAAAAAAACAAACAAAAACAATGTAAGAAAATAACAAGTGTGGCCAAGAATGTGGAAACTTAGAACCCCTGTACACTGTGGGTGGAAATGTAAAATGGTGCAGCTGCTGTGGAAAACAACGCTGAGTTTCCTTAAAAAATTAAAAATAGAACTAGGATGATCCAGCAATCCTACTTCTGAGTATTTATCCAAAAGAACTGAAAACAGGATTTCAAAGAGATATTTACACTCCCGTGTTCATTGCAGAATAATTCACAATAACCAAGAAGTGGGAGCCATCTAAATGTCCACTGATGGAAGAACGGATGAAGAAAATTTGGCACGTACACACAATGAAATGTTATTTAGTTTTTTCAAAAGAAAGAAATTCTGGCACATGCAACAACATGGATGAACCTTGAGGACATGATGCAAGTGAACTGGCCAGTCACAGAAGGACAAATATTGCATGGCCTCATATGAGATACCTGAAACGCTCCAACTCATAGAATCAGAAACTAAACGGTGCTTGTCAGGGGTTGGGGGGAGGAATGAGGGGTTGCCATGCAATGGATGTAGGTTTTCAGTCCTGCAAGATAAAGAAGCTCTAAAGATCTCCTGTACAGCAATGCACCTCTGGTTAACAATTCTGTTCACTTTCAAAAATTTAATAGAGTAGATTTCATATGATGCATTTCTTACCACAATAAAAAATTATCATCATTATCATTACCCACTGGGTTATGCAGAAAGACATTTTCCATGGGTTTCCTACTAAGAACACACACATATGACATATGCATGCATACACAGGCACATATCCTCACACACGCAGTCTTCTTACCTGATCTAGGGTAGCTTACTATGATGACATCATCATCTCTCACCAAAAATTCTTCCCTGGCAAAGCACAATGTCTCCACATTGGTTAAGATGGAAGGCATCGGGAGTCCCTCAAAAAAGAGGCATTCACTCATCTGGACACTGTCCTGGAGGATTTTTCAATAAAGCTTCCAGGTATGAGGCTAGGAGTCCCGATATTGGGTGTAATGGCCTTTTACATTAGCCGGAGAAGAAAAGTGTGATTACTGATGCTGAGTAAAGCGCAGTCCTCCACAGCTCATTAAGAGCAGGTCTTACAAAGAGTAGGCGCTAAGTGGGTGGAGCTTCAGAGAGAGTCAAAGGCTTGGACTTGGAGTTGGATAAGCCTGGAAAAACTGGAAGAGAGTAATATCCGTCTAGTAAACAGGAGGGTGGAGAACTGAACCAAAGAGAGGAAACAGCAGCCTATGGAGGAAAAACTGTTTTCCAATGAAAGACAATGAGCATTCTGGGGGCAAAGGGACGTCCTAGGGTTCCGCCGGTCAGAGGCACTGGCAGAACCTCCGTGATTCCTGCCTCTCACCTCTCAGGATCCTCACTGCCTGGCTTTAGCCAAGCTCCCATGGTGGGATGTTTCTGGTGCAATAGGAGGAAATCCAGGTCAAAGTGGCTTGTTATCTCATCTAAAAGGTTCCCTGGGACTTCTGGCTTCATCCCTCGGATATAAAGAGCTAGAAAGAGCATGCTCTAACCCTTACAATGAAATATGTGCTGAACTGACTTCCAATTACGTTTGTGTGTATGTGTGTGCGTGTGTGTGCGTGTATGTGTGTGTGTAACTCAACAGAGAATTGGGGCTGGAGAGAAGAGGGCTGGGTGCGGAGGCTCCTGCCACACTCCTGTAATCCCAGCTACTTGGGAGGCTGAAGCCGGAGAATATCCTGAACCCAGGAGGCAGAGGTTGCAGTAAGCCAAGATCATGCTACCGCACTCCAGCCTGGGCGACAGAGCCAGACTCCATCTCAAAAAACAAACAAACAAGGCCGGGCGCGGTGGCTCACGCCTGTAATCCCAGCACTTTGGGAGGCCGAGGCGGGTGGATCACGAGGTCAAGAGATCGAGACCATCCTGGTCAACATGGTGAAACCCCATCTCTACTAAAACTACAAAAAATTAGCTGGGCATGGTGGCGCGTGCCTGTAATCCCAGCTACTCAGGAGGCTGAGGCAGGAGAATTGCCTGAACCCGGGAGGCGGAGGTTGCAGTGAGCCGAGATCGCGCCATTGCACTCCAGCCTGGGTAACAAGAGCGAAACTCCGTCTCAAAAAACAAACAAACAAACAAACAAACAATCTAAAGAGAGACACTGTCCTCAGGGAAAGAAGGGACATGGATAACCACTTGGCTGAGTCAAGACAAACAGACACCTGTTAGAAGAGCTGATCTAGAATATCTATCAAACTAGTTAAGGCTGATTACAAGCTGGCAGGACTGTGAAACCCTAGAGGCTGCAAATATTGGCAAAATCTTTTTCTTTTGTCCACTTGCAACTGTCTTGATCAAGTTATAGAAATCTATTCCACTTCAGGCTCATTCTCCATGAATCCCATGAGACATCCACAAAAAAGTGTTTTAAAGAACCTTTAAAAGTGTCTATTATGGTACATCCCAGGGGACAGAAACAGCGGTCATGTTAGAGGAGCTCCTGGACAAGATGTAATCTCAGAAGGCCCAGGTGTATGGACCCGTTTGAATGGATATCTCATCTGGGACACCCAGGTATATAGAAAAGGTTGATGGAAATTTAACCTTGGAAGACTCAGGTACACAGATGCAGCTGGAACACACCACTGCTCCTTGGTCAGAGTACACTGCACTAGTCCCAGATTTTCCCAAAATGGCCTTGGCCGAGCTGGGCAGAGTTGACAAGGGGACAGTGGCTGCTGGCAGCATCTTCTAAGGAAGATTACCTTCCCAGGGACAATTTTCCCAGCTTTCTACCTGTGCAGAAACTAGTGGCTGCACGTGTGCTCAGGAGAGAACTAGGGGACTGGACTGGTGTGACATTCTTTCATCTTCCTTTGGATTTTCCACTCAGGCCATACATTCTCTGTTTTACCACAGAAAAATAAGATCCTTCTCCTCTATGTCCACTGAGGAAAAAATCACTTTCATCTCTGTGAGGATGGGCAACACTACTGGCTTTCACACATTAGTAAACTTTCATTGTTCAGACAAACCCTGAAGAAATGTTCTGCTGGCAGATAAACCATTTAACAGATGTTAAAGCAAGTTTTTTGGGCAGTAAGAATATAATATCAGGTTGAAACCTAGGTCTTTACAGAGGAGTAAGGGGTGCTGGAAATGGAATATATTCATGGTTTTTACTTACTTTTAATCATTCTAAAAGATAACTGACTGCCTAAAGCAAAAAATAACAAAATGTTTTGTATTGTTAGTATATAAAATAGGAGAGAGTATGAGAACAGTAGCAAAGATGATGACAGAGAAAAGGCGTTGCAGATATATCACGGAGATTACTTGTACCCATGAAATGCAGCATAGTATTATATGAGTATAGAATCATTAATTCATTAAAGGTGGCCACTAAAAATGTTAAAATAAATATAAAGTTAATATAGAAGATAGAATAATTTTAAATGCTTGATTAACACAAAAGAGGACAGGAAAAGAGAAAGAAAAAAGGAGCAAAAGGCTGGGCACGGTGGCTCACACCTGTCATCTCAGGCACTTTGGGAGGCTGAGGTAGATAGATCACATGAGGTCAGGAGTTCAAGACCAGCCTGGCTAACACGGCAAAACGCCATCTCTACTAAAAATACAAAAATTAGCTGGTTGTGATGGCGGACGCCTGTAATCCCAACTACTCAGGAGGCTGAGTCACAAGAATTGCTTGAACCCAGAAAGCAGAGGTTGCAGTGAGCCAAGATCACACAACTGTACTCCAGTCTGGGCAACAGAGCAAGACTCTGTCTCAGAAAAAGAAAAAAAAAAGAAAGAAAGAAAAGAAAAAAGAAGCACATGTAAAACAGCAAGAGAGAAATTTTAGCCCATCTATGTCAATAATAAATTTAAATGG